ACTCATACAAGCCCTTTACAAATCACATGACAATGGTGCAGTCTACAGTACGAACGCTGGAACGACGCTTGTCCTAATAAGTTTGGCTTTATGAGTACATCCATAACATCACTTCACTCCCAGCCCATTTTTTTACAGTTTCTTTTTCAATTTTTTTTTCAATTTTTTTACTTCTCACTCAATTTATTCTCAAGAGGTCACAGTTGCAAACTATGCAAAGCTAAACATGAGGAAAATACAGAAGTTTAGAAGGGTTTACTATAACCTTTGATTTATTTATCTTTGAGTCTGCATGTCCCTGTGAAGCACCTGACGTGTTACGAAGAGCCAAGACTTCCTTGGCTGACTAATACTAGCACCATCCGGAGCTCAGTTGCACTCTGCTATTTGTACAGTACTGCTGTGGTAGTTTATCCTAGATCAGAGAGCTCAACCCGCAAGAAGTGAGAATGTTGTGTGCTCTGTATCACATAAGAAAGGCTAGACATGAGAGACACTCAGTCCCTTTAGTTAGTTTGGTTTCTAGTAGCTAATTGATCTAAGGATCTGATCCAGCAGCTTCCCGAAATAAGCCTACAGTAGATATCAGAATCAACAACATGCCTCAGTAGATTAGTCCTTTCTCCCACAATCCTGTGTATGAAATTGCCTCCTATTCTCAGCCTGACATGCGCTTTTATTTAGTTTCTGTGTCTCTTCTGGCTTGTATTTTATAACTGATTCTAAATATATTTATACAGTTGAATTTGTCAATGCTACTGAGGGTTCTTCAGACTTCAGACAGGGTCTCACTTGTCTTCTTTTTTAAAGACAAAAAGGGTTAAGTTCTTTTTTTCTTTAATTATACAGTTTTGAATAAACGTTTATGAACCATTTGGAATTATCTGGATTTCCACACGAATGGCTCCTAAAATGTGATCTGATCTTCATCTAAGTCATAATAATAAATAAAGACAGTCTTATTTAACAAACATCACACACAACATTTTACATTGTCATATCTGTAATGAACAAATGGTTTAAACAATCAAGGTTATGGATGGAAAAAGTATTTGAACTCCTATATTTAGTAACTAGTGGAAACATGAATCTAGGTCTGATTTGTCTATTTAACTGTTACAAAACTATCCTTTTTAAAATGTATATCTCAGTTCTTCCAAGCAAATTCTAAAGTATGTTAGAGACAATATAAATGACCATCTCTAGAACAGACTCACTCATCTTGAGTGATAATGAATCTAATAATTGTAGAAGCAAAGTTAATTCTGAAACATTGTGTCCCCTTACTTTGCTTCCATTCATATTGGGAGGTACTTCACCACACAGCATAACAACCAAACTTGGCCAATGAGCAAGGATTTTACATACAATATGCTCATACTGCCTCAAGGGATATGCAATCAAAAACTGAATTTTACACTGAAATTTTAAAGCACTTATTACAAGTCTGGTCTTTGGGTTGATCACAATCACTTTTGCTCTAATATGATCAGATGTAGGCATGGAATTACCCTAAAATAAAACAGATATTATATTGGACCTATCTCTGTTAATCTCACTATCAGAAGTACAGATTACTTTTCTATAAAGCAAAAATGAGTTTTGACTTTGCAGTCCCAATACTTTTGTACGTCATTGTCTTTTTGATAAGTAGGTTGTTCAAGCTTTTTCTTTAAGATCTTATATATGCATCTAGTTTTCTTTTTTTTTTGCTATTTGCATGGAATGCTCTGTGTGCACCAGTACCGGATTTCCCATTCCCATGTGCCTACAGTGCCTTGGGCCTGCGAAGGAGGGAAACACTAGTGACGAACGACAAACAAGCTGAAACAACATGCTTGAGATCAACTCTAGGTGCTCCAAATCAATAATCATACACTGTCAGCTGTTCTAGAAACTAGAAGTATCGAAGTGATGGTCGCTCGACTCACTCCATCAATCATGGGGTTTAGCAGTAGAATAGTTGCATCGTGTTGCAATTCAATTGGCATTTACCCCTCTCTTTTTGCACATTTCGGAGTGAAAGTGCCTAGGGCCTAAGAATACCAAAATCCGGTCCTGGTATGCACCAAATGTTATCATACAGGGGTTGGCCTATTTGTGCAAATTGGGAAGAGCAGTGCACCTGATACAGGAGTGGATCCCTGGGGGCCTCCACTGATTGCATCACCCAGATTAGAGCATTCGTCTCTTAAGTATACTCTTAGTTCCATATCTATTTCTGTTAATTCTCAATCCAAGTACTCATTACCTTGAATGTCTGCTACCTGTAACTTGATCAACTTTATCACAAACCATAGTGACTGGCCCCTAGGATCCAATATCCACATGGATTACCTGCTTGCTCAGATTTATAACCATTGTTTCTGTAACCTTTAAATATATTAGAAGAAAATGGTATATAATTTTCCAGTCCCTGGGTACTACCCCTGTCTTGAGTGACTGTTCAAAGAGTTGTGGCAGTTGCCTGTGAATTGCTTCTCTTGTTTTGTTAAAGATTTCCACTTCAGGCTGAAGGCCTGAGGGATCGTGATAGAATGTGGAATTGTGTGCACCTTGTTCAACAACACTTGGCATGTATTTGCATGAAAGCCCATAACTACAGTATGTGCATGCCACTCATACTGTAGGCAATATAATATACTGTGTAAAGCTTTATGAAGCATAAAGGCAAGTTATGAGGTTTGATTTTTTTCCCAGAATTAATACTATTAACTAAATGAATATAATGCTAAAAAGTGTTTTATGTTATTAATTTTGACAAGCAAATTACAAAGCTTGTCGGCACTTAAGGTGTCATTTTAAGTCATGCTTAGAGTTTATATTGTAATTTACTGGGGTTAAAACAATTTATGCAAGAGAGTGTGCTCTTAATTACATGATCTATGCTCTTTCTATTTCTTTGAACATTGGAAAAGATACAATAATTAATTCATTTGTAAGGTCATTTGTATTGCACACACCGCCTTCCAAAAATCTGTAAATCAGGTTTACAGTTGATTAAAATCGGATCAAAGGAAAAAGACGGAAACATGTCTGAAAAGTCTCCTACTGTATGTGCACTGTTTTTGCAGGTTTACGATTCGAAGTCCTACATGCATTGCATTGGAAGTGTTACAGACATGCAGTACAAATATGATTTGTGTTTTTGAAATTATTGGAGCCATTTATCTGATTTAACTAAAACATTTTATCAAAGACCAATAAAATGGCTTTGTAAAGAAATTCAGTATATTGTTTAAGATAGAGATATGGAGGTTAATTACAGTAAAGTTCAAATAACACCTCTGCACAGAAACCGAGAGTGAAAACATTTTCTTGGTAAAGCCTTTGTTATTTTTCGTAATTATTTTTAATTATTTTTAATTATCTTTAGTTGTCCTTTAAAACACTGCCAAGGATAAAAAGTAATAGCCCCTTAAAACATTTGGCATACTTTCAGTGTATAAGTAAACCAATAAATTGGAAATCCTTTTATTCAGTTAAAATGTCTCGGTCTACTAAGTAGTTATGTTCATTGCCGTGTTTCTTTGTGTGTATTGAACGTACTTTGAGAAAAAAAAAATAAAGATGGAAACTACAGTATTCAGAAAGAAATAATTATTACAATGAATATTTTTGAAGCAGAAGAAGATGTTTGTCCTCACTGAGGTGCGACTGGTAGCCACTTTTCTAGCTGGTTTTGCCTGTGATAGTCCCTTGTGGTAGTATCAGTGTGACACTCTCCCAGCTCTTTTACCCTGGGTTGTGTACAACCTCCTGTCACTCTCCTGTCACTATAAATGTTGTTAACGTGCCTCTTTCGGATTTTCTGCACATCTCTTGATTTTCTTTCCCTCTCATTCAGGATTTTCTCTGGGTGAGGCTGTTTTTTTTGGTTGACTAGTTAACATCAGCATGCACTGTAATTTGTAGGGGTATTCATAAATGTTTAAAACCAGACCAAGACCCATACCAGGAGTAAAAAAACTGAACACGTTGAAAGATTCTATATCTTAATGCTTAATGTTATGGTCCAATAATAGTTAAACTGAATTTTGCAACACATTTCTACACTGCTCACATACTGTCATCAAGAACTAGTGTTAGAGGTGTTTGCTTTATTTAATGTTCTGCTAAATCCAACAATTACAGCAGGAAAACACTAGACATTAGTAAAAATAAACATGGCTAACTCATGTTGAACTAGTCCCCAGTATGGCTTGTTACTGTATGTCAATTAGAATATGGAGTGTAGCACATAATATAAAGAAACAGATATTATATACATTCACATTTTAGGTTAAGTGCTACCAAGCCTTATGTATGTCTGCTTTTCTATAAGAATAAATCTTATTTTTTTCTATTTTTCTGCTTCCCAGGAGGCGATGTACTGTATTCAGTCTTAAGTGCTTACGTTGTGGTTTACTTTGTACTTTGTTGAACATTAAACAGTAAACGCAAGATGGGAGAATGCGTCACTTTCCATAGGTGTAGTATTTAAGCTTAAGACAGTGACACGCTGTAAAGCAGCATTTTAAAAAGCTGTTTTTTGTCAGTTTTCACAGACACAGGTCTGTCAGGCCTTTCAGACTGCTGCAGGACAGGTGAGGCTGTGAAACTTTAAGATAGTAAGGGTGTGATCAACACAGTGCAAACTCGCCCTTTCTGTGGATTAACTCTTTTATGCCATTCAAAGAGAGAGGGAAAACTTGTGTTTCTTTACGTAAAAAACACCTTTTAAAGCCCCTTTTTTACACAACTTCTTTTTTCTTTCATGACTCTGCGCAGCCAGCCGCTCTGCTCTTTTTCTTCCCAGAGGCTTTTGATTTTCTTTATTACTCTTGCTGCTATCTTTGATTTTTTTCCCTCCCTGTTCTTTCTTCCTTCCTCCTGTCTCCCCTCTCTCTATATATAATTTTCTCTGTGTCCTGTGCTGTGGCTCTGGTTCTGTCGCTTCCCCTCCCCCCCTCTCTCTTTCACTCCACACCCCTCTTCAATCCTTCCCTGTGTTGTTGAAGTTGAGCCCAATGTCGGGACCCCTCGCCGAAGACCTATCTCCTTCTGCCCTTGCTGTACCCACGAAGGTAACGTAACCCCGCCTCGCGAGCCATTCGCTGCAGCAGGGTCACCGTGGCAACCCCCGGATCAGCAGAACTCATCTGGACTCCTCTCCTTACCTTCCCAGTGTGTGGAAAGCCTGACGTTTAGAGGCCTAATAAAGCGCAGCTTTGCCTATTTAACACATTAAAAATAAGTTTTAACAAAACTACGCATTACTTATAAATAGCTTAAAGGTATTCAAGTATTTGAATGGTGGCTCTGTGGCTAAGGATCTGTGCCTGTGGCTGGAAGGTTGCCGGTTCGTATCCTGTGGCCGACAGAGGAATCGTACTCTGTTGGTCCCTGAGAAAGGCCTTTAACCCCAACTGCTCCAGGGGTGCCGCATAAATGGCTGACCCTGTGCTCTGACCCCAGGCTTCTCTCCCTATCTGTGTGTCTCATGGAGAGTAAGTTGGGGTATGTGAAAAGACAAATTCCAAATACAAGAAAATGCATATGGCCAATAAAGTGATCTTATCTTATGATCTTAAAATCTTATGATCTTATCTAAAGAGTGTACTGTACGTCACATAAAAGAAAGCGCCTACATAGAGTGCACCATTCCTGTTTGCTTGTGTCTTATTTATTCAGTGTGGATAACATGTACCCAGATCACATTTTGACTATAATCTTTAAAAGAAGAAAGTTTTTTTTCCTGGTGCCTACGATAATAATATGTCTGATTAGTCCTGCACCCATTTCTTTGCACCAAAGACTCTTAATGCCTTCAGTAACAAAAAGCCACTTTGATAAGTGCTCTTTTAATTTAGGAGGTATGATTTATAGAATTCAGGTAATGCTCGCAGATGTAGAGGTTTACTTGGTGTATTATGGTGAAGTATTAATTCTGTCGTAATTTTGCTTAAGTTACTGTAGATATTCACAACATAGGCTGTGCAATATAGATATGTAGTTGTTTCTTTCTTATTTCTGATTTTTTTAACCTCTTGCTATTGTTGGAAAATAATTTATTTAAAAATTAGTCACTCACAGGGCTTCATGGACGACATTCAGGGATGTATAACTGGGGATGTACTGTATAGCATCACAGTGTCTAGGGATGTACAAAATAACATCACTAAGTGATGCATACTGTAACTTAGAAAAAATCTAAAAAATGTTTTTTTATTTTGGTGTGAAGGAAATTAAAAAAAATATTAGTATATGAAACCCATTATTTGTTGTGTTTGTGTTCTTGGTCTGAGGAACTCTGCCTTGCCTCTGTGCCCCTGTCTGTAATACTAAAACTCAGCTGTAGTGAGTGGCATCCCATGTCAAAGAACACTCCCATTCTATGTATACGTGTACTGTTTTCCTTTTTATTTTTCCAGAATTTTTTGGGGGGCTTATGTATCATGCTTCATGGAGGTTACTTAATGTCTCATTGAAAATGCTTTGCTCCACCTACATGTGACATATTTATGGTTGTGTTGCAGGCTTCTCTACTTCAGTGCATGGACTTGGCCTTATTTGGTTCTGAGTTGGCTAAAATGGCTGCAAATGGCCATACCTGTTGCTGTTGCTCTGGTTAGATCATGGATAGAGTCTGCATGTAGAGGCCTTTTTCTTCCCCTCTTAAAGACGTCTGGGGAAAATAACCTAATGCTGCATGCAACAATACAACAGTGTCATTTATTTACTCAGAATTGGTAAACTGAAGTGTTATAAGAGCATTTTAATCTTTGTAAATCCCAGAGGTGATGTTAACAATTCTGTATCCTCTTGCAACTTAAAACTTTCCTCAGAGACTCGATATTTCTTGGGAGGTGCAAATATATGTTGTTAAAGAATAAATGAAGTGTAAGTTCCCACCTTTCACTGCAGAGATAAGGGAGGTGAACGTGGGGAGGGAGTTTGGGGAACATGTGTTTTTACAAGTTTTATTCATAAGGTAATAGTGATAAGCGAACTTGCAACACAAGTGTCCATAGTGTTCCTAGCGAAACGAAATAGCTTTCCACACCATCGTCCATAGATTTCCAGATAGATCAAAATGATTTGGTCTTACCTCCCTGTCATTCCTCAGGAAAGTCATCTTGGCTTGGCTTCCATTGCACTGCCCGTCACATTCACCCCAGCTCTCCTACGTGAGGAGTGTCACGTGCTGATATGGACAATTTCTGTTTTTTGCAGGAATGGGCAAGAAGGATGACCCCAAGCTTATGCAAGAATGGTTCAAGCTTGTCCAGGAGAAAAATGCCCTAGTGCGTTATGAGTCCGAGCTTATGATATTGTGAGTAGAGTCTTTGCGGTTCTTGTTACAACGGTGTTTTTGCTTCGGAATTATCATTTATAAATTTGCTGTGCAGACAAAAAAAGCATAAAACGTAATAAAGTAATTTATTTATTTTAAAATGAATAAGGTGTTTCGTACAATACTTTTGAGTTGTACAACAGCTTTGATCAATTTGTTGGTATCATGTCCTACATAGGACCATGCCTCTGAGTCTTCGCAGAAGAGGTAAAAGAAAAACTATTGGTTCAAAACTTGCATTCATCACCCCATTTAGGCTTGAGCAATGCAAATATTTGCATCTGGGCACTCTCTCTCCATGGGAGATCTCTGACTGACAATAAAAATTGGAATGGAAATAAATAACCAGCTTTTAGAGTCAAATTTGGAGTTAATCATGGTTATGATTAGGGGAAGTTTAGTCTTAATTTAAAGATTACGAAAGGTTTTGATTAGGATTTGTATAGGAGTTAAATTTTGTATTAGGTTTGTAACTAAGATATAGAATTTAACTGAAAGTTATGTTTCAATAATGGTTGTTAATGTTAATAACTAATAATATTTAAGTAAATATTTTAGGCTGAAACCAGGTCATGGATTGATTGACTTTTGAGTAGTCTGGTATTTATTAAAGATCAGTTTTAACTGGTTTCGAGTAAATATGAAAATTCAGCTAAATTTGAGAAAAACGCATGATATTGGATACAGTTAATGTATTGTTCATACTGTTGTAGACTAAAGCCTTTTTGTCTGTATTTGTTCAGTGCCCGAGAACTGGAGCTGGAAGATCGACAGAGTAGGTTACAACAAGAGCTTAGGGAGCGCATGGCTGTTGATGGTAAGGCCCTCCTTTTGCCTCTATTGTTTTCCATAGCAACGGGCACTTTATTCCTGCCTCTTCCCAGTCACACTACCAATCAAGGCAATACCTATTTCAATGTTGGTGATTGCAGTGTGGTGTAGTGGTCAGGGGACTGGAATCCTGGTTTGAGGGCTGTGGGTTCCTATCAGAGGTATATCACTGCTGCACCCTTGAGCAATGTGCTTCACTTCAGCTGCTCCAGTGAAACCCTGCTGCACCACCTGGTTCCAACATGTGGTATTGATAGGTTCATTTTACATTTATCAACCTTAGATACACAAATATGGCACCTCGAGGAGAATATAAAGCACTGGACAATGACACAAATTAATTTTTAATAACGAAAAAGTCTGGAAACCTCCAAACTCTTACACTGCTCAGGAATGCTCGTCAGATCATCGTCCTGAAGACCCCCCTGTCCCTTCTTCCACCCAGATCACCTGAAGACAGAGGAGGAGCTGGCGGAGGAGAAGCGGATCCTGAACGAGATGCTGGACGTGGTGGAGCAGCGGGACTCTCTAGTGGCCCTTCTGGAGGAGCAGCGGCTGCGAGAGAAAGAGGAGGACAAGGACTTAGAGGCCGTCATGCTCTCCAAGGGGTTTAACTTGAACTGGTCCTGAGCCCCTCCGCACCGCAGCTCTGGTGCTCTTCACACAGTGGCGCAGCCCGACCGCTCTGTCGCAACGCCCTGAGTGTTCGGGAATGTCAGTCCGGCGTGCTTGCCTTTTTTTCACGCTGTTTACAGTTTACATATCCTCCCCGGTCTCGGTGAACTTTGTTTTTTTGTTTTTTGTTAAGGGGAAAGGATAGTTTTGTTGAAATACATATATTTTTTATTTTCCATTAAAGACAGATGTCAGCCATGGAAACAAGTAAGTGACTGAAAGGACAAGAAACAAAAGCTTCCTGCTGACATGGAGGAACTGAGAAGAAATCTCTTTATAAAATATATACTAATGTACAAAAGAATTGAACATAATACCATTTACACTTTGACTGAAGATGTATATTTATTGACTCATAGATTGAAGACGTGGGCATAAGCTTGTTTTCATGAGCTTGGTTTTAAGTTCCTAAGAATGGAAGGATTGGCCTCTCCTGGTGGCAACTTTCCATTCACTAGGTTCTTCCCAACTTCCCAACCTTTTCTCACATGCCATTGCTATCTGATATTGCAGGACATCTGTACAGCTGTCATGGGTAACTGGCTGACTTGGTTCCGCCTTTTAAGAAATCTCTGAGGAGTATCTTCAGTTTTCCTTCATCAGCATTTGCACAGATTCATTTGTTTTTGTTTTAAGGTATCACAAAGAAACAGGTTTAAAAGTTTTAAACCCTATTTATTACTGTTTTTAATGTAATACTAGCTTTTACTTTTTTAACATTGAGACTACTGCAAAATCCTGGTTTTAGTGGACATTTACAAAATCTGACAGAAGAGTTTCAGTTGCGCAGTGTAAGCTAGACGCCCTGTCCTCTCTCTGTGTCATAAGCCATCTTTATAATGTTGAGTTGCACATGATTGTGGTACTCTGAGAGGACTGTTAAGTTCAGTAACATGCTGTGGTCTTGGTAATTGAATTTTGCTCTATACTCATTGTGAATCTGACACTATCCTGATGTTTCCTTAAAGGGAAAGCAGTGTTTTTCCCACTTGGAATTGAGCCAGTATTAGTATGAAGTCTGTGGTATGCTTTGTTTTTACTAATGGAAAAAAAAACTGAAGCAAAGAGGGGAAAAAACACATTTGTTCCTATTTTATTCAGTTTTATTTATTGTATTCTTATAAGGTTCCTACACACTTTTATTTGCAAAGTTACATTACATTTGGTGGATTTGAAAAACGGTTGAAAGTGGCCTGTAGATTTGTCCCTTCAGGGGTAATGAGTATAGCCATGTACAAGAAAAGTTCAGTATTAAACATTTTGCTTTTCAACTGTAAATTATCTTAGGCCATTAGTTCAAAGTTATTATTCTTCTGACCCTGAAGGGTTGTCACTTTCGTTAAAAAGCAAACATAACATGTAAACATAGTGTAGCAACTGCTTGATGTTTATTGTAAAACAAATATTTTACATTAAGTTTAGAAGCTTTCTGGTTGTATGAGATGTATGCACAGCCTTGTGGGAGTCTGGAAGCAACCCTGGCTCCATGAGACCGTTCAGGGGATGACTTGATGGATTCCTCGGGATCAGAGCAGCTTGCAAGATACCTTCCTTTGTTTGTGACCAATTGCACGTCCAACTGATGTAACTTGTAAATTCACTTCAGTAAAACAAATGACACTTACCCCCCAAAAAATGAAATCAAGTTCTCTTACAATTATCAAAGAATCTGTTTTTCCACCTTAAGGTAACACCATCAAGTGATTTGCACAGAGGCACCACAAATCCTGTTTTTTTGTATTTGTGTACCAATGTGTGTATTTCTTGAGCCATTAATATTGGTATACAGTATGTGGTAAAAAAACAAAACAAATTCAGCTTTGTAAATGTGACATTTAAATGTAGACATTGGAAACTTGAACAGTGGTATTTTCATTTGGCTCAGTTTCTGTACGAAGATTGGAGATTGTCATGCATTGCCTTTGTCAGCTGTATCCAGATTATGGGAAGTTCAAGAATGCCTTTGTTTCCTCTTCAGCTCTTCATTTTTATTTAAAATCATTTTTGTTAGGAGTTTACAATGTTCACTCTGTTTACTCAATGAATTTTAAAAGATACACGTTATTACGGAGTGCATAAAATGAAAGCTGCTCTCAACTTTGTTATTGTTACTAAAGATTACGCTGAGTTTATGTTTTCAGTAATGGAAGATGTGAAAGTAATACCCTTTCTGTCATTTGGTACATTTTCTGCTTGTTGGACCACACTTTTTCCTGAAGATAGTCACAGAGTCAGATTTTATGTAGCAGATGTAAAAGAGATGAGAAACCTAGCAAAATCTTGTACTATACTGAAGTTCATGTGTGTTTAGAAGCTGCCTGGAGTGTTTGACAGATTTTATTTATTAATAAGTGTGAGAAGAAAATGTACAATATGTAAACAAAATCCTAATTTTTAAACCAGCTTCTGTTGTTGAGCCCTGACTGAAATTTACATACTTCGTATAGCTAAATTGCATTTAAAATGTTGGATAAGTGTTGAATGGGGACAATAAAACAATGCAGTCATTTAAAGAAGCAAGATATATTTATTTTGTTCGCGTTGGAAGAAATATTTGTCCAAAAAAGAGAAATTATGACAGATTAAAGTATAACACCACTGTTTTTGAAAACAAATCCTTAGTTTTACAAGTGGAAACCCTGCCTATGCAATTGCTTTACGCTAAGTGTTCTGAAAGGTTTTTGTGCTATTGCAACAAATGTGGTTTTATAAATTTGAAAAAGTACCAGTGTTTATTTTTTTTTCGCTTCTTTCTGTTTGATACTCGTCAATGAATTGCTAAACCCTACAACACTCACACCAACATGTGATGAAAGAAGAGGTGCACATTTTCTTCAGCGTGTGCAATGTCGAACAATCTGCCTTTATTCTCTCTCTGGTCCTCTCAGCTGATGGAGCCAGCAGAGTGGAATGAAGCCACTCCACTTGAAAGCTCACAAATTCAAGTTTGCAATACCACAGAGCTCGCTTTTGTTTTGTGCTACAAACTGGGGACATCCTAACTGTCTCAAGCTCACCCAACCCCAGAAGTACACAGTCTGCTACATCATTGGGGGGTCTTGGTGACAGTCAGTTAATTATATATTCTAGGTCTGAAACAATACTATTGAGCTCCACCTGGACTCAGAATAAGCATGTTTACTGATTAGGCTGTTCCTAAGCCTCTGCTCCTGCAATAGATGGAAATGTGGAATGTTTGTACGATGGCAAAATTTTCATGGAGATGATTCTCTGGCTTTTTATATCATCTGCTTTCACATCATGCTGTTAGAGTAACCTTGATTAACACACTTGTGTTATAGGTGTATCAGGTACTGTAGGTGCTATGCAGTTTCATTCAGAAGTAAAGGCACAACATAACCACACATAAGATTGGTAATGACTCACTGGGCTGTCCCCTGACAGTTTGTTTGTCTGGTTTGGGAGTTTTTCGATATTCTCTCTCCTAAGTGTTTTTTTTCTTTAGAGACTGTGACTGTGAGATTTGTCCATTCCATCTGTGGTGAGCCATCAAGAATGTGTGGTGTTCTCTTACACCTTTTTTCTGAAGAAATGTAAGGGTGGGGAATTTGGGATTGATTTTTAACTCTCTAATCTTTATGGGTGTTTCACCAAATTCCTGACCAACATGCTTTTCAGTTCTGGACCTCAAATTGCCAAACAAACAACTACACTGAAATCAAACTAAAAATATAGTGACCAAGTCTTTGTTACCAAATATCAAATTATTGAATATTTGATCATAATGAGCTACAGTTGCAGCAGTTCTGAAATGTGTGGGATAAGATCTTGGCAGTCATTTATCAAGATGTGAAGGACATCAATTCATTTATTAGATCACGTAGTGTTGCTGCAGTCTGTTGAGCTTTTAAACTGCTCACTATTCCTCTAAGAGGTATGAAGGAAACAATATGCCCATCATCATAAGCACAGTGTATTTATGTTTGAGTGTCCCAAATTTAAGTCAGCTTCCTTAACATGTTGCCCAATTAAGAATCATTTTTTTTATTAGATTAAAAAAATAGTGGTTTCGATTTTCTTTTATCACCATTGAGTTGCAGTAATCAACATAATTGTTTAAGTTGTACATGACTGAATATTACCCCTGTGTAACTTTATTTTACAAAGATAATTTGTTACTTTTCTGAGGTTGGGCATCTTCCTTAATCCAATGTCGAAAATCCTGTTACTTATTGTTTTCTTTATGAATACTTAGGTGCACTCATTTACACAGAAGTCTTTTAGTCTTCCAAGAGTTCATTTAAAAAAATTTCCAACCTAATGTTTCATTTTTCCACCATTCCAAATTGGTAGGATCCATGAGACTTGTTTCTAGTAATAGTGTTAAATGTCCTAAAGCCCTCAACCACAAACTCTTTTAAGAGGCTTGTTGAGAGGGATCACAATGGAACTCTTTTTTTTTTTTTGCACTAGTAGGTCTTTTGAACCTGTTCTCATACTTACCCTGGTGCTGTGAACATTGCTTTGCTGATGTCATACTCTTTTAATCCATTGGTAAGGAAAAAATCTCCATATACTTAGTTTGTGGAGTCCAAGTACAGTGTGGAGTGGACCTAGAGAATGAACATGAACAAGCGATATTTAAAAGTGTTATTTCTATTTGGAAGTTTCTTCTATGTAACTACTGTGGATGCACAGCAATGTGGTAAGTACATATGTCATAATATTCCATACAATTAAGACTACTATTTAATATACAGTATGTTGCAGGGGATGAGCTGTATTTAAAACAGTATCAAGAAAAAGCACTTAGCAGTTTCAGGCTTCTGGATGTTTAGGTCTCTTGGGTTTACTATAAACCAATATATAAATTGGACAAGATTTGTTTGGAATATCACTTTATGAACATTTGTGTATATTATTAGATTAGAAGTACTGTATGAATTCCCAGGCCTGGAGGGCCCATGTTTATGCAGAATTTATATTTCAAATTCAGCCAATAAGGAGCCCATAAAGTTCATTATTGACATATTTGGACCAGATTAAAATTTTGATGTGCTGGTTTTTCAATGACAGTCTGCAGCCCGTAATCAGGATTGCACACCGCTGCTGCAGATCAATGTGCTTTATTGTATTATGACATTTCACCCAAACCTCTGAATATAGTGTAGTTTTTAGTGTGTCTCTGCACTGAATGTTAGGAATAGATGCAAATCCACCTTTATGTAAGATTTACTGTACAGCCTTATTTATTAAAAGTCACACAGGAGAACAAGCTTGTATCCCTACTTTTGTCAAGCATTGATTCATAAGAATTTTACAAATTGATTTTCTTTTTACAGTTTTCGCTGTTTTTGCAGTTCTTTTGCTTTTACCCATAAGAAAGGGCAGCCTGAACCGAGCATTCAAGGTTTGGTTGGAAATACTGTATTTACAGGGACAACATTGGAAGGGGGTTTGCTGGGCACTATTTCTATTGCTTTGAGATTGTACAGTATGTGTTTGATTTGGTAAAGTATACCTTGCCTTCAATCCTGCAGATACACAGGAACATATATGTGCAACCAACAGACATGACTGTGACCCCTTTCTGGCCACGTGTGTAGAAGGAGCTTCTAATGCAGACACTAAAACAAACTACCACTGTGTTTGTCAGACAGGATACCAAGGAAATGGAAAAATTGGGAATTGCTCAGGTAATATAGCATGATAAAGAAATCCTTTCTTTATCCGAAATGTTTTTTTAGAGATTTACCAGCCTGATTATCTTCAGTCTTTCACACACTTTCATTGAGGATATTAAGTTTAAATGTTTTCAAAATTGCAGTAGACTTGGCGAGACTTTTCTCTGTGCTTTAAAATTAAGTGTTTTACTCCTGTACTGAACTCTGAGATTCCATCTCTTGTTTGCTTGTTTGTTCATATCACTTGTGTGGGCTTTTTAAAGGAATTGTTTATACAGTATATGGTAGATTGGTTCTATACAGTAGATGCTTCCAATATTTAGTAAAATATAAAAACTAGGGGGTCATATTTCTCTCTTCTCTGCCAACAATGTACAGTATCTCATCACTATTGTTAAGCAAAAGCAAAATTGAAAATTAACTCAGTAACTTTAATTTGTAGTCCTCTATGCTACTGTATATAGAGAAGGACCTCAAAACCATTCAAAATTGCATTTCAATTTCATATGAAGAGACAGGCTTCTTAGGATTTGGGGTCTCATCACAGACCAGGATTCCACAAATGGGACAAGCACCCCATAAAATCTCTGCACACAGAGATAAAAAAAAGAAAACTTAAATGTGTGTAGTGCAGTACAGTATGTAGTCAATACCTGCTGCTAATCAATATGAAGAGGAAAGCAAAGAAATAAAATATTGTCTATACTCAAACAGCAGTGACTAGAACTCTTACTTAAGCCCAGAGAGGAGCAACCTCAGCCAGCTTGTCCTTAAACTCACTGCCCTGAGCCACACCAACAACAGCCAGCCTCAGGACAGCACTGATAAAACACCACAAATCAGCTTCACACAAGCTAAAGGCAGTACTTCACCCTCTGGGAATACACACAATTACTGGAATGCTGCTGGGCCCTGAAAAGACAATACACACTGGCTGAGTATCTGATCAGGGTAAGAGGCAGCAAGGAGAAACAGGCACTGTAGAAACTGGGTGACAAAGGCAGAGCCAGTTACCCAGAGAGGACAGGCTATGCTCTCACTGCCAGCACAGAGAAGCACAGACAAAGGTGCACTTCCTGCTGCACAGCAATACTCTGGGACTAGACAAATATTTATCCCTAAAATAATGACTCCCAGGTTCTCCCACACCTGCCAGGATCAGAATAGCTTCCAATTCTACTAGGCTGGGGGAGGAAATCACTAAAGCAGCGATCTCTTGTCACATCTGAAGAACCGAGAGTGAATCCCTGAAATTATGGTTATTTTCTACAAATGACTCATTATATGTTCTTGTTATAAACATCTTTAAATGTTTTTGTTTTCTGTTATTGCTTTGGCATTGGGCATAATGATCCTAATTAGGATGAATTAGGATGATTGGCAATATCCTGAATTTTAGATTCAAGATGGTCTCTCATTGCAGATATCAACGAGTGTGCAAATCGAACTGGAGGTTGCTCCCAGTTGTGTGTCAACACTGAAGGGAGTTACAGGTGTCAGTGCAGATTAGGCTTCATTATGGAGAAGGACAACAGGACTTGCTCAGGTAACTGAAAATGTATTTCAGAACACAGCTGGTTTGCCAGGGTTTCAGTGTAACATGATTTTGAAGTGATCTGTGCCATTCACAGAGTCCCAGTTCCAATTAAATCCCCTTTTTCCAAAATAAGTAAATTATTCCCTCCAGAAGACCATAAGCACAAAAACATTAATTAATTAAATGCTCAGCTTAGTACTAGGTGTCTAGATTGCAGATCTTGATAACGTGATTTTCAGTTAGCAACACAATAGTAGTTAGCAACAGTAGTCAGTAACACGAAGAGTAGTTATACAGTTATGCATTGTTTTTGTACAGCAGGTTTGATTTT